TAACGGCTAAGCGGTTGAAGATATCAAAATGCGGTTTGCACCAATCAAAATTTCAAGAAATTTGAGCCTCGGAGTGGGGGGTTCATTTTTTTGTATCTCGCTCAGAAATTGACGTTTCCTATTAAAACCATCCAAATTCGGACACCCTGTACATCTGTTCTTGGTACCCTGTATAAAAAAATTAATGTGAAGGAATCTTAAGCAAATAGTATATTGTGTATTTAGGTGGAAAAGTGACACATTCTCGGTCGATGGTGTAAGTTGACACACCGGGAATGTGTTTTTCCACCGAAATACACATACTATTTTTTCTGCGATCGGTTAAATATCTATAAATGTATGTCTTTTTGTTCCAATTGTTCAGCAGTACGAGAATCACTTTCCCGGCCTAGGCCGGTAGAGTGATTCCTGTATTGTTATTCATTGATTCCTTAGCAACTATTGAAATCAGGGTTGTTCTTGGGGAATTTTCGTATGTGCCTGTGACAACACTCAAAAAGTGCCAAATAGTGCCCACCTAATAAGAAGTTATGGGAGAAGATTTTCTGACTTTTCACCCATTTCCTTTTATCACATGATTAAGTAAAAGGAAAAAAATATATATTAAATTCACTATAATGACAATTGGCAGTCACGTCACTGTCACTAGTCACACTCACATCGACAAATCCAATGAACTGACAGATCCACCACAATTCTCACAGTCAGGACTGAGGTCACTAGCACAAACATAAAATAAACAAAAAATTCTGCTTCCAGCTCCAGTCTTTTTCTCATCTTAAAGATTTGAAAAAAAAAATCTAATAAATATGAATCGTGCCAAATTTTTCAAAGTGGTGCCACCGTGCATTTTGCGCACGAAAAGTGCCACTTTTGGCACAATTGTGCCCTTTGAACAACACTGATTGAAATATAATTAAAACACCAGAATATTGGGTTTTGCGACTTGTCAACTGGTCAAAAATGCTGACATTTCTTGTCAATTGCAGAAAAAAATCTTAATCGCAGTGTTTTTGCGTTTTGTCCACACATTTTATCCGAAGGCTCTAGCGAATTAATTCCAGTTGAAGTCCCCATCCTTTATATTGGGATGTTCTTTCGGTTTATTGATTTCAGTTCTGTGAGAATCTTCCTGACTTACGGGAGAACTCAACGGTATGACGATTTTGCCCATTAATAGTTAAGCCGGGCTCAAACGACTCGTGTACTTGGCGAATAATCGTTACTTGCGTATACTTGCCATGTCGTGTGAGTGGGTTACTTGTACAATTATTCGTCACTCGTTGGTTTTCCATTTCTTGTCGAGTCAAAGCTGCCAGGTTTGAAAATTGAATTTGCAGGACATGTGTTGAGAAAATGCAGGACAGTAATGAAAAAATCAGGACTTATTTATTTTCCTTAAATAATATTTGTAATACCTACCCAAAAATACGTTTAATAATAATGCATTGGCGGATTCATCGAGATCCTCAAAAAAGTCCAGAAGACATAGTTCAGTCGGTACGTAATATCTAAGTAGTATCGGAAAAAGTTTGTCACTACCGTGATTTGAAGCATCTGTCGAAATTCCAAAAAATGTATTATGCTTACGCAGCTCTTCCAATGTAGACTATCGAAAAGGGGCCTAGAACATTGAAGGCTATTGAACAAGCCTTTGCCCGACCCAACTGCATACCTATATTATGGCATGGCGCATGGCTTTACTGATAATCATGGATCTACAGACTTACCAAGAATATCAAAATTATTTTGAATAAACACTAAACAAGTTGTTACAGGAGGAATTATCAAAATAATGCGCGCCACCCCCAAGAGTTTGAGCTGCAAGATCTTGATCGCGCGCTTTGCGCTTCTATTCTTCTATGATTGGTAAAATGATTGCCGCATGCCGCAAAATGATGCCGCATACGCGTACGCTGCGCTCCCATTGGTGAATTTGTGGTGAATATTCGGGCGGGTGCATTTTCGCGCTTTTCACGTTAAATTATAAAATAGCTGAGCCGAAATAAAAGTATTTTTTTTTATAATCTAAGAGTAAGGATATTATGAAATGCAGGACATTTGGTGTCCTGCGGACAACTCCGGCAGGACACAGGACGCAAGAACCTAAATCCAGGACATCCTGCGAAATCCAGGACGCCTGGCAACCCTACTTGTAGAGGCGCTCAAACGAAATGCACAAATAATTGGCTTTTACTGCGACTATTTCATTTAGTTTTCGACGAGCATCAAGGTTTAGCCAAATGTTCGCGCTGGCGTACTTGTGAATTGAAGACGTCGTGTGAGCGCCCTGCTTGCCATCGCAATTCCCAAAGCTAGTATACTTGCCAAGTACGCGAATAATTGTGTATTCGCCAAGTACACGAATAATTGTGTATTCGCCAAGTACACGAGTCGTCTGAGCCCGGCTTTACAATTTACAAGTACGCGAGCGCGAACATTTGGCTAAACCTTGATGCTAGTCGAAAACTAAATGAAATTTAGAGAGGTTTTGTTTGTTTTATCTTTAAAAATTAAAATGGAGTGGACAAATGACATTGTGTTGGAGTTTCTCGATTTGTATGAAAATGAGCCGGTCATTTGGATGGCTAAACATAAAGACCACAAAAATCGAAATACAGGGGCCGTATTTTCGAATTTATTCGAGTACATTTCGTACACGAAATTTCACTGACAGCAATGGAAATTAAATGGGGAGCATTCGAAATCCTATCAAACTTCGTATGCGAAAATATTCGAAAATACGACCCCAGTTAATGATGCGTGTCTCGACTTTTATTTAATGATACCATCCACCATCTTCTTCTTCTCTATTTCTTTGCTTTTAATTTAATTAAATAAGCAGAGCTCATCACAACAAAGGCGGCGGAAGCAACAACGAGATGTTCCAGACGACCGCTATCCATATTGACTGCTACACCACTGTGCTCTAGTCATTTGTCAAGGTTTAGCCAAATGTTCGCATTCGCGTACTTGTAAATTCTAACACGTCGTGTGAGCGCCCTGCTTGCCATCGCGATTCGCAAAGCTCGTATACTTGCCAAGTACGCGAATAATTGTGTATTCGCCCAAGTACACGAGTAGTCGTCTGAGCCCGGTTTTAGGTAAAATCGCCCAACAATGGTTTATGTAAGTGATTAAAATCGGTAAATCTAGCTTTTGATTCAAAGATTTTATAATGACCCAGGAAAAATAGACCCGTAATTTAAAATACAAAAACAGTAAATTTAAATGTAATTAAATATGTAATGTGAATTGAATTGAATAATCTCTAATGTAAATTAAATTTCCGAAATTAAAAAAAAAAACTAATTTTCTTAATTGAGCATTGACACAAATTAATTGAAATATCTAAAATACGTTCAAATTTTAATAGTTAGTCACCAAGCGTGTGTCATTACATTGAACTGATAAATCAAATCTTTGAAAATATTGAAATAAAGTCAAAAGTAATTGAATTGGGTCCCAAAGTGACAGAATTATACTAAAGACATTATTTACCGTCGACACGAGTTCGGCATCCTTTGATTTGTTTGTCCCCACACTCTTATTCCAAATCTGTTGACCCCGATAATCCAGGAAATTGCGACATAGGTATTCGGTTTTAAACACAAATTAGATTTCTTAGAAAAAAGAAAGGTCAATGAATGGACGTGACCCGAAATTCTTGGGAGGATCGAAAAATATACGATCAGTTCAGTTCAGTTCAGTTCAGCTCAGAGACTTGAGTCTACAGTAATCAAACAGTCGCGATCAATTACCTGAGATCAATAAGTCAGTCCGGATAAAATTCGCGAAGAGTTTCTTTTGTTTTGTTGCCTCGGGAAAACGCGCTAAATCGAATCTTTGCAAAAGTAACGGAAATTGTGAAAGAAAGAACATTTAAATTTGTTAAACATTATGTGCGAGATCTAAATAATCAAAAGAATTAATTTAGAATTTAGAATAGTTTAGTGAATTAAGGACGGAACGTAAGTACTCTGGTGACATGTTTTGACTTTATCAATTATTGAAATTACTATGAAGTAAGTGAATTGACAATGGGACTTCGCAAATATTTTATTAACTCGAGTGAACATTTAGTATTTTGTTTTTGTTTAGAAGAAATAGGAAATTTCAATGACTATTGAACCTGTGAGGTCTGTCTAATGAAGAGAATCAATGAACATTGACATAATGATTAATATTTTGAACTCTATCTGATTAAAAGAATTTAAATTAAATGCGTAATATTAATTTGACATAGTATTGTTATGTCTGAATTTAGACCGTAAAGATTTAATTAACATATTCAATATTTTGTAATGATATTCACTCTGGCTAAAATTACGATTTTGAGTAAAGCTTTGTACAAATTTGGCAGTAAGCGAATTCAGGGGTTTTTATACGCTTATTGAATTGGAGGTTTTAATAATTGTAATGTTTTGACGAGAAAAGGAGTGATGGTTAAAAATATTGTAACTTAATGTAGTAGGGCTCTATAAAAGAGTTATTTAAGTACAAGGCTTTTGATTGTAACATTTATTACAAGCTCAGAGTTAGTGATTGTGGCTGTAAAGTTAGCATCATTTTAGGATTGTTTTTTTTTTGTATAAGAATGTTGTTGGTTAGAGTATAGAATTGTACCATTGTGATTTGGAGAAGCTCGGTTTACTTTCTTAAATAAAGTATAATTAATAATGGATAACCGAATTACAGTTATTTCTCTCACTTGCAAATAGACCCGCCCCCACAATTTTATTCTACAGTAGCTGCCCAAGGAAATAATTACCATCAAATACGACCGCTCGCAATTCACCATCTGACCTAAATAATAGATACAAGTAAGATGAAGACAGAGTCTTCATCTAAATAATAGAGTTCTTGGCGCGGACATTACAATTTCATTGCAATTTTCGGTTGAATAGCAACAAATTCAAAAGGTGTCATCATCTTAAAAATAATACCTGCTAGAAACGAAGACGCTTAATTAGTACCTATTTGAAATAAAATACCATTGGTAAAATTATCAGTTGTTTATTTATTTGTTAATGTACAACTAAATACTGACACGTATTGCTATCGAGACTAAATACTACATACTTCTATAGAAGGACTTTAATTCGGATGTGCCTTCATAGATACAGTGTGTTTGAAAAGCCTGGGAACGGTCAAATATTTCCAGAGCGACTTGAAATAGAATTACGAAATTTTCTGCATTAATGATGCCCGATTCAATGATGACATCGACAATGTTGCCAAGTTTACCGGTTTTCAGATAATGTAGGTAACTTCGTTTTTTTCAATAGGAATACCACTTTATTTTCATTGCAATAAATTCGACGCTCTATTGTGACTTGGGAGTGAAATATTCAGATATCATATCCCTATTTCACGCGGTTTCTGGAACATGATAACACATCCTTTTTGTTCAAAGGTCTGGCAATGGTCAAATAATTACCACAACGGCTTCAAATTATGATTACCAAATTGAATCGGCAATCAATAATTACCTACTCCTCTGTAGAAAATTTCGTATTTCTATTTTAAGCCGCTCTGGATATATTTGACCGTTTCCAGACTTCTTTGAAACATACTGTATATTAAAGTCAGAATACAGGGTGATATACTAGAGATCCAGAGCGTAGTGAGTGTTATTCAATTTATTGGTCAATTAGTAAAATTTTCTATTTCGATTAAGATGGTTTATGTTGTTTGTGACAAAAATGATGCGCCTGTTTTAGAAAACTTACTAAACTTACTAACTAAAATCAATTGGAAATTTGAAACTCAATGCATTTTTTGATTGTCATAATTTTATTTAGAAAAAAATAATAAAAATCCTTAGAATTTTGATTGTCCTAATATAAATGATGGATTTTTTTTTTGGAATTATGATGCGGTAGGTAACCGTTTTGTGCTTTCCAATAAAAACCGCATGTAAAACAATATTGTTTAAAAAAAAAAATGTATAAGTCCATTTGCTTTTGCCTAGGAGCACAAGTAAGGGAAGTGAAATAAACGATAATTAACCATTGGCTTTACATATTGATTGTGCGTAAAAAATGTGTGGATATAATCTGATAAATTGCAGGTAAGTAACTTAAATGGAAAGTACTGTAAACCATAACCTAATAAAAGTTATTAGACCTCGACAACCTAATGAAAGCGTCCATAGATTGAACCATCATTAGTATAAGTATAACCTTATAGATTCGACCCAATTAGTTGAAAATGTCTGGCTTATGTTTGTTTGACTTATCCACAAAATGAGGCGCTCATCTTTCCTATTTTCAAATAAATTATTGTAATTGTATAGGTAATGAAGCTATGTGCTCTCAAGGAAAAGGAAATAGACTTATAATATGAGAATGTTTCCGCTACTGAAACAGTTTAGCTGCTATTTGCATTATAAATATGATATAGTGGTAAATTATTTATAATTACTCCTATAAAATTTTGATATGTTTATAACTTGAATAAACTTTTTAATGGAATTTTTTAGTGATAACAGTCTTTTTAGTAAGTTTGTTCCAGTTTTTCCTTTTTTTTTTTTAAATTTAATAGTAGATAATATGCCCAAATATAAATTTACATAAGTAAAAGTAGTTTCAGACAAAAAATAGGACGGAAGAGTCATTTTGATGCGCAATGAATTTTTTGATGAACGAAACAAAGTTGCATCGTAAGGAGACGAGTATCTTTGTCTACTGCTACGGTTATTTGAAAAATCAAAGCGACATCAAAGAAGGGATATAGCAATAATTCTAATAAACAGACTGCTAACTTACCAAATTAAAAATAAACCAGTTGTAAGTTAATAATAAAACATGTAACACCAATATTTTTTGTGACTACAGAAACAGTATATCTTCTTATCAATAACAATATAATAACTGCTATGCTAACATTATTTATGGAAGTCAACTTGCAAATAAATTTTTGGCAGTTTTAACAATATACAATAGTTATACACAACTCCTATTAATAGATTTGTTTTTATATAGCATGTTTATTCATCCAACACTGACATAGATATAATGACACTTTAATTGCTTTGATTTTACATGAATAATGTCCAAGTTATTTTCATCATTTATTATTAAAACGCAATTATAAGAACACGTTGGATAACACGTTGTATCAGGCACGTGAGTTACTTTTTACATAAGTTACAGGGAAAGAACTTTTCCGGCGTAGCTGGAATGTATAATAACTCTATTGCCTAATAAATAACTATTATTAATAAATCGGTTTTCTATTTTAATAAGTTCACAAGATTCACAAGATTACTTATACCTGGAAGCGAAATGATGTGATAACTTTTTTATAGGTGAAATAAGTATAAAGCTTTTCCGATCTAAGGTTGAAACAAGTGTTTGCAAAGAAAAGTAAGAGAGGTGTAGAATGTACCTATAACTTGTGCCTGGGAAAATCATACATAAGAAACCATTTATAGATAGAGTAAAATATGTAGATGCGATGCAATAAGCTTTCTCACTCTCATGTGCATTCTATCGCTCGAGAATCTTGGGCAGAATTTGTTAGGTACTAAAAACAGACATATACCTACATAGATTTGAATATATAGTATCTATATTTTGAATATCTGAAAAAAACCTTAATATATTTTTTAAAATACCCTGCTTTCTAACGCAAACGCGATGTAGAAAGTTCTTTTGAGATCTTGAAAGCTTATTAAAATCCATTTAAAATATATCCCGATTTGAGAAATTTGACAAAACAACTAATTCATTCAAATTATTATTTGATAATTTATTATTAAATCTGATTTCGCTTCACCCCTTTCAACTTTAACGTCGGTTCCACTTGGCCATTCAAAAATCTAGAAACGTCAACTTAGCACTATACAATATTATCACCGGAGTAGCCTTACGTGACCATCGTTATCAGGACTATTTGATAAGATTTACGTGGTACCGTTCGTGGACGATTTCCACAAATACTTCCTAATTATTATTGTTGCGAGCAGCAAGAGTACTCCGCACTGTATTGGTGCAATTGCATATGGTGGTAAAAATCCTGGTCGCAAACACTCTGGCAGACGACTTAGCACGGTTTGACCATGCGCCGATTTTTTTGGTCCCGTCTGAAAAAGAGAAATTGATTGATTGATTTTCAAATATAGGAATATCAAATTTAGGAATTCCCTCCCCCATTAGTGCGAATGTATTCGGGAATTCGTTAACATTGTGAATGGTTTTGTATATGAAGTGTGTAGTTTATGTGTTGCAGTTCTAGTCAGTTTCAAATTGAAAAGCGATAAGTGGCTAGTGAAATTTAGACCTTATTGATTCAATAAAAGTTGTCGTTGGTAGTAAAGAGTATTGTGATGGACTCGCGGAACTCGTGATAATATTTACAGGAACTCATAATATTATTAAGAAACGGAACATGCAATAAACAAAATCAATAAATTGAAAAGATATATTATAGCGTTTTCCATTTATCGAACCAGTGCAAAAAAAATGTATCCTTATATCCTTACATGTTACATGCTTTTAGAGAAAGATGCGGATACACTCAGTGCGCATTGATTGACAAATGGAAATCGCCATTAGAACGAGGCTCGTATATACCCTCCATCCAAGGATGATATACACCTACAAGGATTGCTTATCGGCCTCGTTTTTGGTGATCGCCGCCATATTGGTGTGTTATGTGTTACCATTTCCGACGTCATAACTAAGTCGTCAGCTGTTTGAACAGCGTACGTCAAGGCGAGAAATAACATGCTGCCTATGTCACAACTGGTATTTTGGCGAGGGGGGATTTGTTACATACAGGCCTTATGAGGATAGGCCATCCTGTAGTAGTAGTGTGTATCATCCTTGCCCGCTATCCCCCCACCGTGGTAATTTTTTAGCCACATATTCTTGGCTGGTATTGCCATTGGTATTTCCATGTAGTCAGAGCTGGGCAGTAGCTAGCTACCAAGTAGTTAAGCTACTAGCTTAGCTACTTTTTTGGTAGCTAAAAACTTATTCAAGCTACTTTTAAAAAAAAGTAGCTTGTAGCTGTAGCTTTTGGTAATGTGTCCCATGTATTCATTCATAAGCTACTGTGAAAAGTAGCTAGCTACTAAAACAAGCTACTTAAGCTCAAGCTACAATTATCATTTTTTCGGAAAAATCTTAGCCTGCCTTGTTTAGACTAGTTTCAACTTATTTCTGTACCAGGGACGTAGCAAGTCAAATCCGGGCCCTGGTACAAGAACTACAGCGGGCCCCCTCCACCGGCTACACCATATGAACATCGGAAGGTCCCTAATGATTTGGACCAAAAGACAATTGACTCTTGTTTTTATTTGGCGTAAGCTTATTTTGCATATAGTCAGAGCTGTCGGTAATTGAATTAAAATAACAAATTCATTAGGGGGGTAAGCGGGGGGGGGTTATATGCATAATAGCGCATGGGCAAATTCGTAGGCGACAAACATCCAGACTACGCCTCGCCTTGGATTCTGGAATTTTGTCTACTCGACCAAAAAAACTGTACTTTCCGGACTCCTGACGTAAAGATTTACTGTTTTCATGGAAAGTCCTACAATTCCCACATCCAACAAGGGAATCAAGGGATTCGGATTCACTCATGGATTTCCACGATTGAGAATGAATTGACAATATTGACACGAGTACTGGGACTCGGACGGCTGGCTGAAAATCTATAGAGATCGATATTACAGTTTTGTTTGATTACAAATCTCCAAAGCCAAGAATGATTGCTTGGGCGGGTGCAATCTGATTTTTTTAATTTCCTTGTATGTTGTGTCCAAAAACTGCAGGACACGCCGGGCCCCTTCGAGGCCCGGGCCCTTATGCGCGGCACCACTTGCGCGGCACCACTTGCACTCCCTGTTGCTACGTCCCTGCTCTGTACCTATGTCCTATGTGTCCTGTTTTATTCTCGCATTCGCAGATCACTGTGATCAAAGTGAACTTAATAAATGTCTAGTGATTTTTGTCAAAAATATGAAAACTGCTGATCCTAGAGAAAATTAAAATTTTATTTTCGTATGATGATGTAATGAAATTAAATTAGGTAAGTTACATTGATGGTGGCGATTGTGCACGTTTTTTTGTTCTTATTAGTTAAACTGTTAAAAAAGTAGCTTAAATAGTAGCTTTCACTAGTTGAATAGGTAGTTAAGTTACCAGTAGCTTAGCTATTTTTTTTAAGAGGTAGTTGAGCTACTAAGTAACTTAGTTACTTACAATATTAAGTAGCTTGTAACTTGTAGCTAGCTACTTTTTTCAAGTAGCTTGCCCAGCTCTGCATGTAGTTAAAGGTTTTAGTTCTTTGCCTCATGCCAATTACCCCGGAAAAGTGTGGAAAACCGGGAAAAAATTACTTATATTTTCATTAACCTTTTCTAAATAATTAATTTTTGCGCAACCTGCTCAATAACGCGACTTTTTGAAGCTTGTGAAGCGGGCAGAACGTTGACAATTGCAGCGCTCGCTGTCATAGCCGGCGAGCCAGCGCCAATGAACTATAGCTAAAAACTGGAATGCGCACACATTGCCATATCTGCCAAAAAAATGTAGCCATGAAAGATAGATGCCACAAAGGGGAATGTTGTTTTTTTCTGTTGCTTGCTGACATATGACGTTTTCGAAAGTTTTGTCATATTTCCCTTCACAGGTTTCATCAATTGGAATACGTGTTGGAAGCAATTTTCGCCATTTAACATAATGAGTGCGACAAAAACAGGTATCCCCTCCGCAGCAGCCGCACTAGGCTTCAAGTTCGTCCTTATGTGTTAGCATTCCAGTTTTTGGTTATAGTTCATTGGCCAGCGCCGAAAAAATTCTCTGAAATTTACTAAAGCCAGTTTTTGGTCAATTGATTACAGTATTTACGTACATAAACATACCTCGGTCAGCGGTCAGTCAAGCGAAACTTGGGACAAGGACCTAGGGTGTCTGGTTAAAGTTGTCAATACAACGAATTTACTGAGGCTGAAAATCGCTATACAATATTATATATAACACATAAATAACAGTGATGTTTATCAGTCAGTTGAATAGCGGAACTGGGCCGGTCATTCAGCCCCATTGAGGTAGTTCAGCCCAGGGATGTGCCGTAGACTATGAAATCTACTTTACGCGGTTTGTCTACTCGTTGTCTACGTATTGTTTACATCCACTTTTTTCCATGTAGACTATGTAAACTATGTAGACAATGTAGACAACAGAAAATTTGAAGTATGAATAATTTTTTTTTAAGTCTGCATTGCATTAAATTTATATTGTATCAAATTAGACATTATCTGCAGTTTAATTAACATTAAGGTACCTACCCATTCACTTACAGTTTGCCCGCAGTTCTAGGACTGTACGATCTGAACTGAAGATTTGAACTTTCTCAGGCCACACACCATTCAGTTTTCTAAAACGATGCGACCTCAGTTTTAAGACTGTCGGTTTTTGAACTGAAGACTGAAGGAAAACTGAGCTTTCGCCACACCAAACATTTTGTCAGTGCTAATCGAACAGTCTCGCTGTAGTGAAAAATGTTTCGTACTAATAGAAAGAAACAACTAGCCGCACTTCTTGTGCTAATATTATTGCAAGAGCCGATAACAAAGGCAAAAAAACGTTTTTGGGTAAAAGATTGGCTGTTACAACGTGATACTTTATCTCATATGAGACTGGTGCGAAAATTAAGAACTAGTGCAACAGAATTAATATAATCAATTGTTGCATTTGGATTAGTTTGTTTATAAAACAATAATAATTTTTCGTATGCTTTGTTCTATTCGTGCCTATTTGAGTAGGACTTGCTCTTTACTTTCCAAAGACAAGGCAATTGCCTATAAATATCAATAAATTCGGTTAAAAACTCTGTATTATTGCTTGACTCGGCCATTTCACAAAATCGGAATCATGAAAACTTCCAACTAGTTTGAAGATGGGTTCTTACGATATCAACTGACGATTTTTCTCCATACACTCTAGTCCGTCGTTAGATTCAAGTGAACTGCAGGCTCTAGGGTTGCCAGATACTTGAGTTTTGAAAATAGGAGAGCCAGTATGAAATTATATGAGATTGGATAATAATAGGTACCTATATGAGAATATTTTATGTACTGCTAAATGCCCAAATCCGAAAAAGCTCCCATCTTGACAATTAGCTAAAATGTTTAGATTTAGGAATATATTGCCGGACATTCTTCTAGGTAGTTAGATACTCCTCAGTTCTCCTGATCCGTCAGTGTCATTTCTTGTAACAAGTTGTGGACAGCACCTTGGGTTTTTTGATGTTCAAACAAATCCCTGACCCAAAATCGTTTTATTTTTATCTGTTTTTACTTTTATTTTTATTTATTATCTACCAAAGCGACAAAAGTAAAATATTATTAATTTGACGTCTTATTTGAATTTGAAGATCCATTATCAACCAGTAAGCTTGAAACGCAAAACAAGATTTGGTTTATTGATTTGTTTACTTTTTACTGTAGAGTGAGTCAAAAAGTAAGTTTAAAAACGATCCGGAAACGGAAGGAGTTAAAACTATTTTAACTTTGTCCGACGTCGGAAAAAAGTTGAAAATATTCAAATAAAAAGTGGCAGGAAATTTTTCAGCCAATAGGTGCTCTGTCATACCATAAAGGTACCCATTCACTTACAGTTAGCCTGCAGTCCAGAACTAAGGTCCAGAACTGCCGATTTGCATATCGTCAGCTAAAATTTCTCCATACACGTTCAGGCCATCGACAGGTCTGAGCCTGCATTTCACTGGAATCTAACGACGGACTAGAGTGTATGGAGAAAAATCGTCATTTGATATCGTACGATCCCATCTTCAAACTAGTTGGAAGTTTTCATGATTCCGATTTTGTGAAATGGCCGAGTCAAGCAAATAATACAGAGTTTTTAACCGAATTTATTGATATTTATAGGCAATTGCCTTATCTTTGGAAAGTAAAGAGCAAGTCCTACTCAAATAGGCACAAAAAGAACAAAGCATTTCTCATTTTAGTATTTTTCTTTGATATTAACGGCTTAACCAAGCTTAAGAGTTCTTTAAAACATGTGTCATCCATTCTAAGGTAATTTTTAAGGTCGTCTGTTGCACTTAGTTCTT